ATATTACGTCATAGCCCCTTTGGGCTGCTCGATTCCCCAAAGACTCTTGGCAGTTTCTTGGTAGACTGCAGAAAGCCAGGGAAGGAGGCTGGGCGTGGGGTCCTCTTCTGGGCAGGTGCCTGGCGTCACCTAGGACACCTCCCCTCCCCCACCCCACTTCCCAGCAAAGCCACAATCTTGAGGCTGCCTGCTGTATGCAGGACGTCTCTGGCTGTTCTCTTTGCCGAGCTGTGATCCCTGGCCCGGGGCCACAAGGGCCCCGGAGGCCCTCGTTTCACACTAGACTCCTGAGGGCAGTGACTTGCCCAGGGTCACCTAGTAGTGGCCGTGGCCTCGGTCCCTCGGCCTCCCACCGAACTCCTGGTGAGCCCACGCCACCCCTCCGGGAGGGAAGAGAAGCTCAGGGTGGGCGTGCTTCCTGGAACAGCCAGGGTCCAACTGAATTAGGAAGTTCAAACTTACAGGAGGCGGATGAGAGGTTAGATACCATAAACAGGTAGATAACACAGGACAGATAATAGGCATATAAATACTAGATGACGGATGATATACAGCCTGATACAACACAGACGTGGGCAGCTGGGTGGTGCAGTGCATAGACCCAGATTCAAGTCCAGCCTCAGATACTTCCTACCTGTGTCACCCTGGGCAAGTCACCTCACCCTGTCGGCCTCCGTTTCCTCATCTGTCAAATGAGCCGGAGAAGGACATGGCCAACTGCTCCAGTGTGCTGGCCAAGAAAACCCCAAATGGGGTCACAGAGTCGGACACGACTGAAAATGCTGAACGAGATCACAGGTATACGGATGACATCGAGAGCTGAGGAAGGGGACCTTCAGTGAGCAGTTACTGTGTGCCAAGCACCATGAGTGCAAATATGAGTGAGCAAGACGCTCCCCGTCCTGCTGAGGGGCCCAGGGAGGAGGAGGAGGAGGAGGAGGACTTTGCAAACTTTGCAATCCTGCTTAAATGCCACTCTGATGCCCGTTTTACAGATGAAGAAACTGGAGCTCGGAGAGGGCCGATGAGTTTCTCAGATCACAAAGTTACGTCTAGAACTACAGCCAAACCCCAGTCCTGCTGCCAATGTCTGGTGCCGTATCTACCACGCCAAACTGCTTCTCACAGCACATTTCCTTTACTCAGTTCACAGTAGGGACTCCGGCGCTTGAGGACATAAGGAAGGCTTTATTCCAATGGCTTGAGGTTTTATGTTTTTCAAGTCACTGAACCAGGTGCCAGGAACATGAAGACAAAGGTTGGACAAGTTTCTGCCCTCAGAGAGATGACATTTTCCTGGGGTGGGGGGCACTGGGACTGGGACGTGAGGCAAAGGGGAGGTGTTGGGGGGGGTGCTGTTGGCCCTGGAGGTTTCCTCCAGCTCTGGCCCCGACATTCAGCCTTCTAAACCAAGCCTCCACTGCCGGCCTGAAATATTCCCCGGCAAGATTCGCTGCACCTTCTGCCACTGGCAAGTTCTGCCTGGGGCTGTCATCTAGGCCAGTCTTCCTTCCCACCCAAGAGAAGGCTCTCACTGGACACACGAGTTAGATTTGGGGGTTCTGGGATACTCGTCATCTCCTCCTCAAACGATAAAATACTTATGAAGCTTAAATATTCCCTGTCCAAAGGCTGCAGAGCTCCCCAGCCTTCAGAGCCGGCCCTGGCTCCTGGACACACCTTTGCAAGGGCCCCCTGCGCCCCTTGGAAGTTTCCATCTGGGAAAGAAAGAACCCCAGGCTGCTTGCTTTGCTCTAAGTCAAAACTCATTTATTTTCTAAAAGTACAAAAACATATGCAAAAGAAGCCCTGCTTCTGGGAGGAATTGAAAGAGAAAGCCATTGTTTCAGAACAGTCATGTGGGAAGAAGGCCCCCAAAAGAAAGTCATGTCCACCTGCATCTGGGACACCCCCAACTCCCTACAAACTCACTATTTTTAAATTGCACAAAAACATCAAATAACTTTTATTAAACACACACAAAAACACATATGCAACTATTACATATTCACATCACACGTAATACCCACGTAGAAGTCTAGAATTAAAGAAGAAAACAACATAAAATTTAAGAATTCAAAGAAGATCATCTTGCTTGTCAATCCCAGGGGACTTTTCTCCCTAAGACACGGTTGGTGATTTTCTGTGGAAAGAAAAGAAACAAGAAACATGGTTAAAGAAACCCAGTGGCTGGCCCTGCCTCAGCCACGCTACCGCAGAGCCTGGCACAGCCCCCTCCCACTCCCAATTCCCCAACTTCAGTTCCAGAAATCCTGCTATCACTCAATAAATATTGGATTAATCTACCCAAACTCAGCAACACCATAACAGTCCAAAGGAAAGACATGGTGCTTATGACTCTACTGAGCCCTCAGTTAAGATGTGTCAGGGCCAGCAGCTTTTCGCCTGGCTCTCCCGCCAATCCCTGCTGTGACCTAGGATGGGTTGGTCTATCCTCCAAATAAATCCTCACAGGTTGTCATTCCCTCCTCCTCATTGTCACCAGGGGATGCTGAAAAAAGCCCGCTTCACCCATCCCAGATGAGGGGGAGCACAGACCACTGCCCCTCGCGTGCAGACATGGGCACAAACTCCTAAATCCATCAAGGAAGCCTGGGGTTAGAGCCTCACTCCCTTTCCCCTCAGCAGTCCCTAAAGTCTTTAAAAACCAAACTGCCACTGCGTGAAATCGTTAGTGGAAAGGGTGGAGATGAAGGGAAGACATCGTTTGAGCCAGGACTAGGCTTCATCCTTCATTTTCTACTGTAAAGCCATGCATTTCCCAGGCTCCCCAAGAAGACGGGAGCACTGATGGCTGGGAATCTGCTATTAAGCCCACATACAGACCAGCTGCAGAGTGATGCAGGGACAGGAGAAGAGCAGAGGGGCAACAGTGGTGGCTGGGGACTCCACCTCAGATGGTTTGCTCATGCCAACAAAGAGCATGCTCCTCTGCTGGGGGAGTGCCGGCCCTCCCGGCCTGTCTGACTTAACCTACTTGGTTGCTGGGCGGTTTAGAGAACACAAAACCAACATTCCTTCCAGGACGCTGCTGGTGTTCTCCCCAGCGAGTGGTCGAAGCCAGGCAGCTCGCTCCTCACCTCCCATGGTGGCTCTAGGAGGTTCAGTCAACGCCTATTTATCACCAGTCGAGATTCTGGTGGCTGCATTCTACCGACTGCCAGGACACTGGCTCGGTGCCGGCTCACTGCCGGCTCAGTCTTTCTCTTCTCCCTGACTCCTGCTTTCACGCGAGGGGACTTCAACACACAGATTCTCTCAGAGATCTGAACCCCCCAATTCCTCCCTTGCCCACTTCCCACGCTCTGCTGCACCCCACACAATGGTCACAGCCTTGACCTTGGGTCTCACGGGCCTGACCTCCATGTTCATGAGCCCCCAGAGTCCTTTATCTCTTGCCACGTTTCCTGTCCTCCTGCTTCATCTCCTCTACCCTACTCCTCAAGCGCCCCTCAGTGCTGTCCCACGCCATCATCTCTGCCCTGGCTACAAACCATCCAGCCCTACACTGACTGTCCTCTGGTGAATCCCTTGCCTGCTGAGCCTCAGCCTTGACTACTCTCATCATCTGCTGCTAAACAGAGCGGGACAAAATCACAGAACCAGGCTGACTGGGCCACCACAAGCTTGTCAGATAATCTCAACGAGGCCCTCACTGGAGCATGGCAATCCCTGTATATGCCCCCAACAGATTAACCGTCCCACACCCACATCAGCTTTTCCAAACTTTCAGATCACTTCTCAGACCTTCCCTGGCTCCCCCTCCCTCCACTCTCTCATCCTCGCCTCATATTTCACTAAAAAAGACTGAGGCCATTTGCTACGAGCTCCCCTTTTCCCTCCTCACCTCACATCCCTCACACAAAGAGATGATGGCCCTGCTCCTTGGCAAGGCAAACCCTTCTATCTGCACAAGGGGCCCGTGCCACCCTATCCCTTCCAGATGGCCCCTACCATCATCCCCACTCTCTCCCAGATGACTGGCTGCTCCCCTACTGCCTACAAATATTGCCACGTCTCATTCTCATCGGACATCCTTTGGAACTCCAGGACCTCCTGTCCCAATGGGCAGGGTGCTGGCTTTATCACTCCCAAAATCCACATGCCTCCCCTTCCACAGAACAGAGCTGGGTGGGGTCACGAAAAACTCCCCAGAGTCCAAGGATGAATCCCAGGTTTGTTCAACTGCCCATTGACTTTAAGTAGATTCCACCACCCCTCGGGACCTGGGTGTCCTCCTCTGTAGAAGGAGGCAGGTAGGCTCAATAACCTCCAAGACCCTTTTCTGTTCTAAGGCCTAGGAGGCCACCCATTTCTTAGTGTAGGTAAACAGACATGGGCTTTCATGGGAGCCCCTTAAGAGGAAAACACTTCATCTGTCGTGACCCCATGGCCCAACAGCACAGCAGACGCTCAGAGAATCCCTGATCAGCCTCCGTCTATTAGGATGTTACCCACAACGCGCAAAGCCGAACATCTTCCATGTTCTGGTAGAGGGTTTGATATTAAGATTTGGCAATGCAGGGAAGCCCACAGGCAGATCTGGGAATTCCCAGACAGCCATGTCGTTCAACATCATTCCACATTAATAAACTAAGTTGTCACAGACCATCAGATCTAAAAGCAGGTCAGCTACACGAGGTCTGGCCCCTGCGCGCCAAGGCCCTCCCTCCTAAACTCTGGCAGGAGCCCGATGCACAGGACTGACACTCCCACTCCCCTCCCTACTTCCCCACCTCTAACTGCTCCCGTCTCAGTCCTCTAGATGCTTGAGGGCCTGACTCTGAATCCTCAATTCTGACAAGTCTGCTTGGTGTGGCTAATGTGACAAATGGGGTCATCCCAGCTCTGGCAACGGACTCACCATTTTGTAGAGCTGGGCCTTATAGCGGTATGTGGCACAGGCTGATTTTCTCTGCTCCTCTTCTCGCTTCTTCCTCACTTCGGGAAGCTGTTCATAGATCCTTGAAAATGGGGAAGGGGCCGCCCAGTTACTCTATGATTGCTTAGGATCACGGCACCAGCCACTCATGCATTCAAACCCTCTCTGACTTTCTCAAAATATCATCCCCATCATTATCCCCACTGTAACTTGACAGGAGAGAGACCAAGAACAAAGGTGGCCAACACAGACCTTTTCTTCTTACAGTAGTATTTTTAGTTCAATAAGAGATATGGGAATAAACGCCTGCCACTCTACAGAGAAGCCATAAGCCACAGCAGAGAAGGCTGGCCTTGGAGACAGGGAGAACCGAATCCCTCCTCTGACACCCAATGGCTGCTTGACTCTGGGCAGGTCACTTGTGCTCCATGATATTCTCTGAAGGAGGAATATCAGGGTGGATGAAACTGCAGAAATTCTCAAGGAAATAATCAAAGAGTTTGACATTACGTGGGGCTCTGCTAAATGAGGTCTGAATGGATATTACAGAAGCTAGTTATGAGAATCCAAAGGGTGTGAGTAAGGAAGGGACAAAATGTCAGTTCTTCCAAGACCAAAATGAAAATGCCTTTATTCAGCAGCCTGGGCTGTTGAGGCAGTTCCATCATTCTTAGGTTAGTGCTCTCACCCCCATCTCCAGAAGCCACAGGAACTCTCCTGAGGAAGTGGGATGAAGTCAGAATCTAAGGAGAATGCCAGGAGAGAAGAAAAAGCTAGTAAGAAATCACGGCCTTAGGCTTAAGTGGCAGGAGCAGAAGAGAGCTCAGCGGTTCTTCAGGAGTCTGAGTCACCAGACCCAGTTCAGCCCTAAGATTTGTGCCACAAAAGGTTATTTTAAAGCAGTGCTGTTCCAGTCCTCGCGGCTTAGTGGGCATACGTGGGCCCAGACTGCTTCTACGATAGTCCAATGTGGCTATCACAGATAAGGAAGCACAAGTCCAAAAAGTAGGATCTCCATTTTCAGGACATCAGGAGTTCCGTCCAGCACTCCTGGCCTAGTCACAGAACGGACTCATCTGGACAGAAAATATTTTTTTAGTCTCTCGCTCACCTAACACGGTAACTTGTCCTAACAGGAGCTCTATACATTTTACCTACTGATATGGATACCTCGCTGATTACTTCCAAGTCCTGACTACTGTGGAGCAATTAGAAATCTCCTATTCTTGGATTTTAACAAAATGGCACTGTATTTATATACAGAAGCCTCTCGATAGTTCCCTCCAACCATAAAAAGGTTGTGATTGTGTTTGAAAATCTACCGATGTGAAGGGGACTGACTGGCAGTTTCTGTTTCTCGGTCCAAGCAGTTCCTAGAACGGCTTCTGTCCAGGGGCTGCTCCTCTCTGCACAGCCCCCAATGCCATTTTTAACACTCTAGACCTATTCTCAGTAGCTTGTGTAGAGTTATTTCTCCCAAATACAGTTCACTCAGGAGAGTGAACACTCACCTTTTCCAAGGTCCAGCTCTATTATTCAGGTAGCTTTGTCTAAAACTCCTCCAAGACAATTTATTGTACAAAAAAGTCTTAGCAATCCTGCCTCCCAGAAAGCCCCACCCCATGATCTATCAACAAGAGAAATGTCTACCACTTCTTGCTCATTTCTAGAAAGCACCTTGACTTTGGAAGTCCCAGGGTCATAAAAGAGGTAACAATGAGGGAAATAAGGCTGATTTCTAGACAAAAATACTCCCTACAGTCCAATGAGTGTCATCCTTTTTAAAGTGCTTTTTTTAAAAGACTGTGATACATCCTTTAGTCTCAATGGAAGTAAACATTGCTCTTCTGAGAGTGCTACTGCCATCTGGAAAAGGTCCAAAGGCATTTGGAGCTAAGTCTGCTAAAGAGAATGGGTGAAAATAAGGCAGCAAATTCAGGAATGCTTGTTAGGTCAGAAAAGGCTAAAAAATCAGATGGCTCATGAACAGAATCTGAAGACAAATTAAAAGAAGAACTCCAAGCTGGGTCTTGTGACAGGCACACCTTCTGAGGACAGCACTCAGGCGAGCATTTAAGTTCTGGCATGTCTGTCTAATCCTACAAAGTCTATTCCTTGATAGCACCTGGCAAAGTGTTCTACAAAGGTGAACAAAGTGAGCATCAGAGAATCATACAAATCTCTAGGTGCAAAGATATCTCAGAAGGCATCTGGGCCAAATCACAAGACAACAGCAACCCTATCCATGACAGAATTCTCAGCTTGAAAACCTCTACGGTGTGAAAGAACTCAGCTAATGCCACCTCTGGATAGCTCTAATTGCTAAAAGGGGGAGGGGGGGTAAGAAAACCTCATGCCTAAATCTACCTCTCCTGTCTTTATCCCTCAATGCCCTCCCAACTGCACTGCCTCCAGCATGGCTCTCCTCTGTATCCACCTGGCTTATTCCAGCTCCATTTGTCATCTCTGTTCATTCACTGACATTTTTACCTCCTCCATAAGTAAGTTCAGGAGTGGGATGCTAGAGTCCAAGTGCCATGCCTCCATTATCCTTGGCAGTGACTACAGTTACAAACATCTTTGAAGATCTTTTCCATCTTTTCTCTGTCTGCTATCTTCTCTTTTTATTCTTAAGCATGTTGAAGATGACTTTACTTGGCTGGGGCTCTGAGCAACCTTTCTTTAAACTGGTTTTCCTCTTCATTGTTCCTGTTTTATGTGGTGGCTCAGCAGATAGAGATTGGGCCTGGAGTCAGAAGACCTGAGTTCAAATCTGGCCTCAGACACTTACTAGCTGTGTGACCCTGGGCAAGTCACTTAACCCCATTTTCTTCAATTTCCTCATCAGTAAAATGAGCTGGAGAAAAAAATGGCAAACCACTTCAGTATCTCTGTCAAGAAAACCCTAAATGGGGTCACAAAGAGTCA